TTGAGAGCCAGCAAGTGCATGTGTGAGCAGGGGAGGGGTAGAGGGAGAAGAACAATCTCAAGCAGACTCCCCTCCAAGCATGGAGCCCAAGTGGGGGGCGCTTGATCCCACAACCCCGAGATCATGACCTAAGCCAAAACCAAGAGTTGGACACTCAACTGAGACACCCAGGCACCCAATGATGTCCTACTTTTTTTTAAATACATATTTTTAAAGATTTTATTTATTTATTTGACAGAGAGAGAGGAAAGAGAGAGCGCGCACAAGCAGGGGGGAGTGGCAGGCAGAGGCAGAAGCAGAGAAGCAGACTCTCCGCTGAGCAGGGAGCCCAATGTGGGAGACTTGATCCCAGGACCTTGGGATCATGACTTTAGCTGAAGGCAGCCGCTTAACAAACTGAGCCACCCAGGCACACCCATAGCTGTTTGCTTCTGCTGCATTATTTCTCTAGGATAAATCCTGGGGGTAAGATCACTAGATAAAATAAAAGGAACTTTTCTCACTTAAGATTTCTTCTAAAATAGTACTATATTTGCTTAAAATTTAAATGGCATCAAATTAATGAGAAATGTACTGGGTGATGGATATTGGGGAGGGTATGTGTTGTAATGAGCACTGGCTATTATACAGGACTGGTGAGTCACAGACCTGTACCCCTGAAACAAGTAATACATTATATATTAATTGAATTTAAATTAAAAAGTAAAAAAAAATGAGAAATATAATGTGGCAAAAATGCTGTCACTATTTTAAAATTTCTTTAGATGTTTGGATGGCTTTGGAATCCAAACAATAAAAATAAATTTAAGTAGTTTTAAAATAGGCCTCAAGCTATTTTTAGGATTCCTGATATGTAAAGCCATGCTGTTTTCCAAAAGCCTTGCATCAAAAGCACTACATTTATGTACCATTTTAATCATGGCCTTGCCAGCAGCGCTATCAACAACCTTTCCCCTGATAGTCTAGTATGCATAAAACCTCAAATTTGCTTTCAGCTTAAATCCATTTTTAAAAAAGTCATTACTGAGAGCAAAACATTTTTAAAAATCTGTGATTAATTCTACAGTTGTTTTTGAATAGCTGTTTAAAAGACAATTCTGGGGGTGCCTGGGTGGCTCAGTCGTTAAGCGTCTGCCTTCAGCTCAGGTCATGATCTCCAGGTCCTGGGATTGAAACCCGCATCGGGCTCCCTGCTCAGTGGGAAGCCTGCTTCTCCCTCTCCCACTCCCCCTGCTTGTGTTCCCTCTCTCGCTGTGTCTCTCTCTCTCAAATAAATAAAATCTTAAAAAAAAAAAAAACTCTTAAAAAAAAAAAAGAACTAAGGATTTGAACCTAGGCTTCCCCCGGAAACACTAGTTCTTGGGGCTCCTATAGCTCTAATAGCTTGTGGTTGAGCTGTTGGGAGGTCAATGGCAAAGAAGGAAAGCCAGTTAAGATGTACTTGTTAACCATGCTCACACCTCAGTCTTGGATCCCACTAATTCCTTCCCATCCAAGGCTGCCACCCATGTACCTCTGGACTCATCTCCATCAGTGTTCTCCTCCTCTGGATACTCATTGCGCCAGTTATTCTCACTGTTCTCATCATCATCATCTTCATAAATATCTTCTGGTTGCTGGTCATCATTCACCTGCACATCTCAACACAAACATGAGTATAAGTCAAAACCTCTAAGGCTGTGCTGTGGGGGAAGCTATTAGCAGACCAACTTGGAAAAATCACTTAAGAGCACTGTGTGGAAAAGAGGCAGCCTAGGAGCTGGTCTGAGTATGCTGCACAAGGGGCTGTAGTAACCTTGGGCTACAAGGTAGAGACAGCAGCCCTACTTCTCACTCAGAGTCTAGCTCCAGCCATCACATTCCCAGTGGGATAGGATGAACTCCAGAAGGGAATACACCAAGGTGGGGAGGAGAGAGACCTCTGAGTAAGTGTTGGCACTGATCTTTAAACTTGAAGGACAGCCAGGTGGGAGAGAGATTATATGGATTATGGGTGATGCCAAAAACCAGAACCAAAATCTAAGTGTGAGGGGCGCAGGGAGAGGGGCTATGCAATGATCCAAGGTGGGTGCCTGACTGTGAGACTATGGTTGCAATGCAGGTATGAGATAAGGTGCCGCTCCTCACTTTAGAATTTGTTTTAAAAATAATGATGTCAAGGGGTGCTTTGCTGGCTCAGTCAATAGAGCTGCAACTCTTGATCTCAGGGTTATGAGTTCAAGCCCCACATTGGGTGTAGAGATTGCTTTAAAAAAAAAAATGTCAGGATGTTAGCTTTCTTAATCCAAGGTCTACCCCCTTTAAGATCCAGTTTAAAAAAAAAAAAGCTTTTATTCCTATTCATGTTAAGAATTTCTGGTTTATTTTGTCTTTATTATAAGCCCCCATATGTTTTCCCCTGAAAGTAGGTGTTAATAAATGATAAAAATGATGTTGCAAACCTTGTAAAAGAACTATTAAGAGCAAAAATTCAGTGTACCTGTCATTCCCAAAATTCCCTGCACTAAACCCAGGTTCCTAGAAGGCATTTAGAATAAATTTTTCCATTTAAACAAGGACAAGAAGAGCTAAGAACAATCTTGAACCCACTGGAGGCAATGTGGAACACAGGGAAACAAAGCACCCAGACTAGAGAACTGCTTAGGCTACCTCATACCCTTCTCATCCTAATGGGTCCCCTTACCAGCTCCCACTCCTGGCAATAGGGCTGCACAGAGAGGATGTTCTCAATCCATCCTGGAGTGGCCATCTCCAAGTAGTATATGTCATACACATAGTCATCCTTCTGCTCCTCCTGGTGCCCGATTCTTGGTCCATCGTCAGATAGAGCCAGCCGTTCACGGATCAACTCTACGGAATTGCAGAGGATCACATCCGGGTCAGATGTCTGTAAAGAAATCAAGAGATGATACATGCATGATCTAAAACATGGATGTTCCAAAAGGAGAAATTTAAGATTTGAGTGAAGGAAATCTCTATAGTTGTCTATGTTAGATTCAAGATTCTTTTTTTTTTTTAACATTTTATTTATTTATTTGACAGAGACAGCGAGCGAGGGAACACAAGCAGGGGGAGTGGGAGAGGAAGAAGCAGGCTTCCCTCTGAGCAGGGAGCCCGATGCGGGGCTCGATCCCAGAACCCTGGGATCATGACCTGAGCTGAAGGCAGACGCTTAGTGACTCAGCCACCCAGGCACCCCTAGATTCAAGATTCTTATCCCCATGTCCTACTGGTCTATTAGCTATGAAATTAAAAAATTAACTATTTCTAAAATAATTATGTAGTTTTTCTTTTGAGATAGACTTAAGATAGTTTTCTGCTTTTTTGTGCTTGACCAACATAAGAGAGTATATGGAAAGACTGGCCTGAGAAGATCTCCCCTTAGGGATCTGCAGGCCCACAGCAGCACTTCTTGGGCTGATCCCCAATGTCTCTGCATTTTGTGTGACCTCCTATAGGGATCTAAAAGCGATTCCTGGACTCTGATGACTATCCCCACCTGGTTGCCCACAATGATGTCCCTTTTCTTTTTTAAAAGATTTATTTGTCTGCCCTCGGCTCGGGTCATGATCCCAGGGTTCTGGGATTGAGCCCCGCATCGGGCTTCCTGATCAGTGGGAGGCCTGCTTCTTCCTCTCCTACTCCCCCTGCTTGTGTTCCTTCTCTCGCTGTGTCTCTCTCTCTCAAACAAATAAAATCTTAAAAAGTAAATAAATAAAATTTTTTTAAAAAGCTGACCATTACTAATCAATTATAATCAAATCTCTGTAAGGAGAAAACAAAGACAGCACTTGCTGAACCAGAATTACTATCAAAGTTCAAAAAGCTGATCCTATTCATTTAACCACAAGCCAATCTTATTTAAATCAGGACTGTCCAAAAGAAATACTCTATCAGCCATTCATAATCTGAATTCTGGTGTATGATACCAGTTTAAATATGGTACACATAAAAAGACATGAGACATTTTTGTTTTGTAATAAAGTGGTGGCCAATTATTACTCCTTAGCTTTTTTGAGATAAGCTATCAAGTCTGCCCTTTCTCCTGTCTTAATGTCACGAAGATAATTTTTGTTCCAGGGATGTACTTCTTGGGTTTATCCAAATACTCCATCAGTGTCTCCTCTCCCCAGGTGATGCCTTTGTTCTATTTATTATTTTACTTATTTATTTGAGAGTGAGAGAGCTGGCACAAGGCGGGAGGGGCAGAAGGACAAGCAGACTCCCTGCTGAGCATGCCCAATGCAGAGCTAGATCCTCTGACCCCAAGATCATGACCTGAGCTGAAGTCAGACGCTCAACCAACTGAGCCACCCAGGTGCCCGGATACCTCGTTGGCATCCTTTTAAGAAAATCCACGGGCGCGACTTGTCTTTCGCTCAAATAGACCATAGAGATTTGGCCCAGTTTTATGCTTGCCTTGCCTCTCTTTTTGACAGTATAGCACTGGGCACACTTCTGAACAAAAATCTTCTTGCCCTTCTCAACACTACCCATTTTTAAATCGCTCTTCCATTGCACAACAAATGAAGGTGACTGCTGGCAAGCCAGATGTCCCACTCTTTCATGTGCAAAAACGTTTTGTTTTTTTTTTAAAGATTTTATTTATTTGACAGAGAGAGACACAGCAAGAGAGGGAACACAGGCAGGGGGAGTGGGAGAGGGAGAAGCAGGCTTCCCGAGGAGCAGGGAGCCCGATGTGGGGCTTGATCCCAGGACTTTGGGATCATGACCTGAGCCGAAGGCAGACACTTAACGACTGAGCCACCCAGGCACCCCGTGCAAACACTTTAAAAAAAAAATATTTTATTTATTTATTTGAAAGAGAAAGAGAGAGAAAACAAGCAGGGAGGAGGGGCAGAGGGAGAGGGAGAAGCAGGCTCCCTGCTCAGCAGGGAGCCTGATGCGGGGCTTGATCCCAGGACCCTAGGATCATGACCTGAGCCTAAGGCAGCCACTTAACCGACTAAGCCACCCAGATGCCCCAATGAGCAAACACTTTTTGATGTATTTACAGTTTGTATTGCATTGTTGAGAAAGATCTGTGTTCACATCCTTCATCAGTTTATATACTAGTTTTTGTTATAAAACTGAATGAGCTATTTGATAGATTTGATTCCACTCAACACTGGTTTACTTTT